CGCAGGAAAGTTGGCGGTTGCGGCAGCATGCAGGCTTGAGATACTTACCCAATGTGGTAGAGGCAGCTGCATGGCTTAAGATACGAACTCCTAACAAGTACGCCAAGTAGGGATACAAACTAGGCACACCAAATTGGAAGCAAAAAGCGTCTACCTAAAGCATTAATACACCAATTTGGGAGTTGAGATAGTAGGTAAAGTGGGTGAAGCGGAGGATATGTGGAAGTTAATTGGAGGCGAGTAAGGATATACAAAATCCAGGTCAATTACATATGTGGGAATGTTGATGGCTCTGGTGGGTTTTAGCTGTGGATAAATGGTTTGTATACCTAAAGTCCTAGTCCCAATATCAATATATAATATGTATGTGTTTACGGTACCACCATATGTCAATCCACTTAAGTATTAATAAAAGTTTGGGGTGGGTGCTATACCTGGGGTATCCCCTAAAAATTAAAAAAAAATAATAATGCTATATTTGTCCTTTGTCTTTTATCTTTTTTTTATACTTTTTTTATTTTGTCTAGTTATATTCGAATAGTGTTTAGGACTTAAGTTTAATTTTTTTTTTTGTGTTTGTAATTGTATATTTTTTATTTCTTTTTTGTTTTTAAATATATTCTTGTTTTGTTTATAAGGCTATGCAAAATTAATTAGTTTTTATAACCTATTGGGTCAAAATTTGAAAACTTCTAAAAAAAAATTTTTATATATTTTAATAATCAGATGGGTTTTAAAATTTTTTTTTATATAAATTTTATAAAATTTATATATGAAATTTAAAAAAAAAAGCCAGCTAGCTAGGTCTATTTTTAAAATTCATGTTATAAAAACCAAGTAATTAAATTTGTATAGCCTAATATAGCTATAGTTTTTTATTTTTAAATAAAAGTAATGGTTTAAATTATTTTGTCAAAGTTTAGGTAAAAAAGATTTTATTAAAATAGTAAATAGTTAATAATATAGTATATTGCTATTTTTGTTTGGCTCTTGGTAGAGTTGATATATTTTCTGCTTCTATATATAGAGTAGTATGACAGGTTATATTTAGATACTCAAAAAGCAACCAGATAATGCTATATTTGATTATTATAGTTTAGATATATATATATATATTATTTATATATTATTTCTTATCTAGTTAATAAAAGTAATAACAAGACTATTAAAAAATTAAAAAATAATAATAATAATAATAATAGAATATTTTTTACACTACACTATGCTAGTATTACTCTGTTTTACAACCTACTTTGTAAAAATATCTTCAGTATTTTTAAAGTAGTGCAAAAGCAAGTAATATAGTATAATTTTTTGATATTTTTTTTTTTTTTTTTTTTTTTTTTTAATTCAGCAATTTTGTTAACACTTTATTAAACTTTGTAAATTTTAATATATTGAATATAAAATTTTCAAGTATATTTGGTTCTCAATATAATAGAGGCTATAGTTCTAGTTCTTTACTTTATTATATCAAAAGATCCATAATATCAAAATCTTATGATATATTAAATATTATAATAAAATATAATTTGGTTCTATTATAATTCTCTGTATTAAGCAATATTTATTATATCAATAGTCTGTTATATTGAGAGCCACATGTAGTTAATCTATTTGATGCCTAATTTACAAATATTAACTTACTTGGTTGCTTAAAGAGTGCCTATATACAATCTGCTATATCAAGTATTTACCTTCTTACTAATTAACTTTGTTTTAGGCTAACTAATATATCAAAAAATAGTACTTGTGGCTTATCAAGACTGCCTACTTTCTTTTCAAATCTTTTTTTTTCTCAAAAGGTATAAAACAAAAAGGAAAAATTCATAAAAATAAGAAATAAAACCAAAAAAAAAAAGAAAAATAGAAAAGAAAGAAGAAGAAAAATATAGATTTCAAAAAAAGAAAAACAAAAAAGATGTAAAAACAGTATTGATAGCATATTTATACCTATATCAAAGCCTAAAAGATTATATACTAATTACAACTTTTGATTGCCTATTTTAAGTAGTCCGCCCAAAGATTCTATACTAGTTGCCATATCTGCAACCTACTAGGAGATTGCCTATTTAAACTCTCTGATTTTCTGTACCCACCTAGCAATTAGCACCTAAGTTTCCGTACAACAAGTGTCGTCTAACTTGATATGTGGTCTCCCTTTCTGTGCTAGGGACCCAGGCCGTACCCCTATTACTAGAGTACGTCACCCAGTAGCAAGGCTCAGGGTGCCCCCTGTCAACAACCTACCCACTCTACGGTCCTATCAATAGGGCTATGCCCTTGTAGAGTTTACCCAAACCCCGGTACCCACTTTAAAGCATATCCCCAATACTTTGGTTTTCCCTTCATTTTTAGTTCTAGACTACCAAACCAGATGGCCCAGAAGGACTGTGACCTGTCCCTGGTTCATCGGCTCTGCCATAACCTTTTCCTCCGGTTAACTCGGCAGCCTGGTTGGTGAACTGGCTTTACCACAAACCGGTCATGCCCGTCCAGTTCTTCTACTTTGGTTCACCTTTTCTTGAGTCTAGCCTTTACAGTAGTACCGTCAAAGATCTGTGCTACCTCTCTGCTCAGGTCTTCCCAAATGGGCTTCTGTTCTCCAGTTCTATAGATTTACACGACCTAGGGACTTATCTAGTGTTTGCACCGCCCATTGCCAGTTTGCATTCCTCTGTATAACCCAAAGTTGCATGGATGCTCCAGACTTGCTAGTCTTGCTGGTGCGACCATAGTTACAGGTATCCTATCCCAACTGATCGACGAAGACGGTTGCCATAACACAGGTAATTATTCGAATTTTCCGTCATCGGTGGGTTTCGAACTCTTGACCTGCCACTTGGTGAGGGTAACAACCTAACCACTACACTAGATCGCCACACCTCTAATTGATTATAGAATTAATTATTGTTATCTGTTTAAAAATCGGGTTCAGTAAAAAAAAATTCAGACTTGAAACTTAGTACACAAACGCATATTCTGTTTGACTTACTGAAAAAATTATGTATACATTAGTAAATTTTTCTGCAAAAAAAAATACTAAATGCATATATGCACATCTAATTTTTTTTACTGATTGGGTTTATTCTCTATAGCATTAACTAATATGCATGTTAACTTAGTATTAGAAGTAGATCGTAAAGGTAATTTTGGGATGATGCTTACAATTTTATTCTGTAAAAAGTAAGCTTTAACTGATCAGATTCCACATATGTGGAAAAATTACAATAATACAAAAAACAATCATGATCAGTTTAGTTGGATCAATTTGTAATTTGAAATATAAGATAATGCACATGCATGTTTATTTTAAAGCTTTATATTTGAGTGCATAAGAATAAAAATCTGTATATAACCTCTAATGGTTTATTGTCATAAGTTACAGGTTTTCACAAACAGTTACCTGTAACCTGATTCCTCCATGTTGCCAAAAACTTCATATTTTAATGCATACATATATCTGATTTGCATATAAACTTTTTTTAACTAGCATAAAAATTATAATGTTAGGCATGCATATAGTACTTGATAGTAGTAGATATAGAACCAAGTCTGCATATATGATACTTGCTGTGTTGTATAAAGTGTTTTATAAATGTGAAAAAGAAATGCTATAAATCTTGAACAACTTTATTTATCCGTTATCTACCCTTCTAATAATAATAATACAGGTAGTATTGTTATTATATATGTATATGTACATACTATCTATTTGTATTAATTCAAGCTCTTACTTATTCATCTTGCATGCTATATTCACATTGATTTAGTTGAAAATGCAAACACCATTTATAATCTGTATTTTAAAATTGCTTCTGCTTAATATTCTTATAAAGATATTTATTGTACCATATCTACTTTTTTTAAAAAAAAATAGCTCAACAATCAACTGTTAATACTTTAAGGCCTGTTTACGATTTGGTTGAATTAGGATTAGATGATTATGAAGAAAATAAGCTAGTCCTTAATACTATTCATAATTTAAAATTATTTTTTAAAAATCCTGATAATTGTACTTGCCATCGAACTCCAAAACAAAAAGACCTTAGAACTTGTTTTGAAAAAGTAGAATTTAAATGTTTTTTTGAAAGACATTTTAAATTAAAAGCCTTAGAAGAATATGAACTTGAACTTTTTATAAAATCGCAGTTAATGTCATTTGAAATTAGTAATGAAAAATCTATAAATAAAACACAAAAACATATATATAGATATAATTATAATAATTCTTTATTTCTTTGTAAGTCAGCTTATTTAAAATTATGTAGAATTAACGATTACTTATTTTCTACTTTATGAAGTCATTTACAAATAAATAGATTAACTAAACGTGTTCATGGAAATACTGGTCATGTATCTAAAACAGAATCAAGAGTTTTTTTAGATTTTAATATAACATTTACAATTAAACAATTTTTAATACAATACGGAATAATTCATAGACTCTCTTCTCCATTATGGTATCATGACGATTCTAGTGTTTTTATTTACTTTCCAACTAGTCAATCTTATATTTCAGTTTATAATGAATATAAAAAAAATTTTTACCTTATACATGATCAACCTAAAAAAATAATTTCTTATTCTACTTTTAAAAGATTATGATATGAAATAGTTCCAAAACTTTGATTTCAACCACTTACAAGTGATCTTTGTGAAATTTGCACTTCATTTAAAGCCAAATTATTAGCTGCAAAAAAAGATATCGATGAATATAATAAAGTTTAAGTCAAATATAATGAACATAAAGAAGCTGTGGATCTTGAAAGACAACATTATAATAATAATATTGAAGAAAGTAAAAATAATTTAGATATTGTGTATATTTGTTATGATTGGATGCAAAATGTTTCTATAATGTATTCGCCACAACAAGTAGATTCACTTTATTTTAAATCCACCTTTTCTATATATATTTTTGGCATTTGTAAAACTGGCGAGCAAAATTATCAGTTAAATTTTTTAATTGGCAAAAATGAATTTCCCAAAGGAGTTTCAAAAGGTACTAACACTATACTAAATCTGGTTTATTATTTTCTTCAAAAAAAAAAACTTAAAAAAAAAAATTACGTATTACTTGTGATAATTGTAGTGGCCAAAATAAAAATAATCTATCGCTTTGGTTTTGTCTTGGTTATGTTCGTTAAATTGGTATGAGGAAATCATTGTTAATTTTATGCTTTCTGGTTATATGAAATTTATTTGCGACTCATTTTTTGGACAAATTAAAAAAGTTTATAGAGATAATTGTGTGAATATTATTGATGATGTTAAAAATATTGTGAACAATTCGTCAAAGAAAAATGATGCAATACAATATAAAAATAGTAAAGGTTGGGTTTGGTATAATTTTAGTTCTTTTTTAAAAAAAAACTTTATGTCTTTACCAAATATAAAACAATATCAATATTTTCGATTTAATAGCTCAGAAATCAGAAAGGTTTACGCTTCAAAAAAATCAGGTAGAGAGAAAACTTCTTTTCAATTATTACATAATATCAAATTTGATGAAAATAGTAATTTAAATGCTTTTTCTACTATACTATTATCAAATGATCACAAAAAATATTTATATACAAAAATTCGTCAACACGTTGATGACCCATATAAAGATATACTTTGTCCACAGCCTTAATATTAAATTTTTTTTATTTTAAAATTATTTTAAAGTGTTCAAGAAAGTTTGTCAAAATAGTGCACAAAATTGGTCATGATAAATATTCTGAGATATTTGAAGGAGTTAATATCATAGACAACAAAAAATATATGATTAAAGTCCTAAAACTAATAAGAAGAAAAAGATTAAGCGAAAGATTAAGATATTGCAAAATTTAGTTGGAGGACTAAATATTATTTTGAACTGGTAAATATAACTGTCGCGTGGGTTAACAAAAGTTAGAGTTTTGTTTTTTGCAATCTAGCTCTATTTACAATAGCTTCGGGTCCTTCCTATATAAATATACTGTATCAAGAAGCACCTTACTCTGCTTTTAATACCACCTTTGACACCTTTATAGCAATATCACAAATGACTTGGGTTACGAGAAATGAAAGATCAAGTGAACTGGTATTTTTCTTTTTATTTATTTATTTTTTTTTATTTATTTATGTTGAGAAGAAAAGAGCATATAGACTTATTAATTCTCTTACTCTATTTATACATGTTTTTACTTTATTAAACTACAAATTAATTACTATATTTCTAATGCATAAACTTTCTAATCAATGATGCACTAGCTATCTTGTGTTACATTTCAGATTTGACCGATTTGCACTTACACTCAAGCCAATAATTTAATGATCGAACTATAAATTATTAACTCCCAACATTCCCTGGACATAGTATATAGGGTACTAATCATCACTGTAATAATTATTAATAAATTTATTATTATAATTTCTGAAATCTTTTGGGTGACAATTTTACCTGGCTTACTTTTGTCAAGGTTTTGTTGAGGATTTTGTCCTTCATTAAAAAAATACTTTTTATCAAGAGTTTTATCTTTCAGATAGCTAGGTTTTGATATAAAACTAGTTTTGTCTTTAACAAATATAATTAAGAGAATACTATATATACTTCACTGTACCGAGTTAAAGTTAAATAATTCTATAACTTAAAATTCTTTACTATTAATAATATTAAATTGCTTAATATTTCCATGTCTATCTTTTGGTGAATATTCTTTTGGCAAATTAGCCTGTACTTCATTGGATTTTTTTGATAAAAATGGTATAAATTTCATGTATAATATTAGATCTGTAATCTTTTTTATATTTTTCTCTAAAACAGTTAACACATAATTAATAGTATGAGGACCTTTAGAAAGAAAATAAAAAAGCTTTATATCATTTTCTTTCAAGTATAACTTAGTGTCAAACAGATTTGAGGCCTCTGTTAATAAAATATATAAACAAAAATCAGAAAATTACTAGCCCAGAGGCATCATTCTTTGCTGCAAAGCCTTAATCCTGTCTAAACCATTTGCCTTACACTATGAACAATCTTTAATTCAGTAAGTTTTTGGTCATGGTTTTATTATATAGATTAGAGCTTCAAACATTAGAATATCAATAAACATATACTATAATGTTTGATATGATATATATGATATGACGTTTAATATAATTATATATAAATTTTATATAACGTAAAGAGTGACGTACTACCTTGAACCTTCTAAATGTTTGCAGCTCGAGTATAGATAGTTATTAATTTTTAATAAGCAAACATCTATGATCTGATATTTGGTAGTTACTTAAATTTTATATATTGTAAGAACAGCTACCTTGATCTAAAACAATATCTAAAAAGATTTAAGTAAAATTACTTTTTCTAATTGAAATTTACAATTTTGATTGGTTGACTATACCCAGTCTTAAAGTACTGTACCCCTAATGCTAAAATTTGCAAAGATTGACAATCAATATATCTAAAATTAGTGACGAATCAAATTTGGGTTGTTTTGGTTACACGACATTTAATTGTTGTTTACTCAAAAAAAATTTCTAGTGCCGTAGGGTTATTTTCAAGGCACAGACCCCATATATCTATAACTATTATTAAATCAATTATAGCAATACTCATTATTTAATACTTTATACTACAAACCAAACATTTGGTATTTTGGATCTGGGTCATAATCTCATAACAAATGAATATCTCATAACTCTGTTTATGCCATCACTTAAAAAAAGAGGCAGTTATAATATATGCATAAAAGCAAACTTACATCTTTTGTTAAAAGATAGTGACCAAATTATACTTAGTAATTTGTTAGATAATAGTATATCTAATGTAGTTAAAAAACAATAGAACTTGTTTAATAAGAAACATATTATAAAATAAAATCAATTTTTTCAAAAAAATAGTCTTGATATTAACTTTAACAATGTATACTACAAATAGTTTATTAAACAATTAACTAAAATATAAATTATTAAACAATATATTTATAGAAACTATTATAAAAAAGAAATTATAATATGTACTAGTTGGGAAAACTTACCAAACATGCAGGTGAGTGCATGTGTGGGACATGTACCGCTCTGTTAGGTTTACCACAAGGACAAATGCCCCAATATGGT